CCCCCCCACCCCCCCCCCCAAAAAAAAAGAATCTCGAAATTCTTTATGTTTCTGTTGGAATATGTATATGTGTAATTAGTTCTAATCCCATATGTAGTAGGAGTAGATGCATTATATATAGGACTCATTGTATCATCGTTAATGCATCAGAAATATTTTCCCGTGGTTTCTTACATGGTATCAGAGCTAACGTGATAGATTCATCGCTGTGCAAAAATACCGGCGACCCCGGAAAAAATAGTCATTGCGGGAATTCGGGTGGTTGTTCGGTGTCCGTCCCTTTTTTGTTGGTGCTATGTAAAAACCAACACCACCACAAGGTTAAACATCCTCTGGCGAGCAAGGCACAACCAGAATATCCGACAACAGACTCACACGCGCCGACTAAAGTTCCACCGGTGCATCTGTCCCACACACTGGTGCTTGCGGTTGTTTCCTACCACTTTCCGGCAAAATTTCTTGAGGACAATTTGGTCGCGAGGTGTTTCCGAGCCTACCCATCCAGGTTACACCAAAGTCCGATGACTTTTTTATTTTTCGGCAATTATTCCCAATTTCCGGCAAATATTTCCAGATTCCGGTGACTTTTTCCGGCAGTGTTGCTTTTCTGTTATTTGCTGATATTTTGCTAGCCCTCTCTTCAATCCAACCATGTCTTTCGGACTTGTTGCTTTTTGTTCCAAAAATATAGGAGTTGGAAATTTGAGTCTTATAATTACTTCAGAACCCTTAATAGGAAGTTTAATATACTTAGTTTGGGCTTTATTAGTTCAGTTGTGGTGCAAGGGTTAAGGTGTTCAAGATCGTTTAACCAAAACGACTAGCGATGGAGATGTTAAAACCAAAAAGTAGGAGAAGATTGATCCTTTGTTTTGTAGTCTCTTGTGGTGATCTATTGATTCCAAGTTAATGCCTTCATTTTGTCCGTCCTGAACATGTTATTCATTTTGGAAAAAGCTCGGACTTTATACACTAATGGTACATCTCGTTTCTATGATGTGATATCGCGAATGACAAATTTAAAATAATAGCAATTAAATATGTCTACTTTCTTGGGACAAGTATAGGCAGTCATGGAGGAATTTGAGAAGTTCATGCCAGTTACTGCTAGTGTTGAAAAGCAACAAGAGCGGCGACAGAAGATGTTTCTAGTTCTCACACTCATTGGACTTACTATTGCCTTGATTCACTACACGACCAGATTTTGGCTAGTCCGACTGTCCCTACAGTTGATGAATTATTCTCTTGATTACTTCGCCTTGCTGCAGCACCCAGTCACATTATGATCTCATCGCAGACAATTGACTCCTTTGTTCTTGCATCTTAGACAATGGTAAATCAGACATCTGATGCTGTGGAGAATTGACGAGGAAGTCGTTTTGGAAGATCTCGACCCAGTGTTCTTATTGTAATAAACTTGGACACACTCGTGAAGTGTGTTATTCTTTACATGGTCGACCACCCAAAAATGCTTATGTTGCTCAGACCGAGACTACTGGTAACCAGAGATTTTCTTTATCTGAAGGGGAATATAATGAGTTTCTTCAGTATCGAGCAAGTAAGCACACATCTACACAAGTAGCCTTCGGCTATTCGGACTGATACTCCGATCTGGTAATGCTTTTGCTTGTGTTTCCCAGTCTAATAGTCTTGGACCGTAGGTCATGGACTCAAGCGCTTCTGATCATATCTCTGGTAATAAATCACTCTTGTCAAATATTGTGTATTCATAGTCTTTTCCCAATGTTACTTTAGACAATGGGTTCCAAACTATAGCAATAGGAGTTGGACAAGCTAATCCCCTATCTTCTGTCACTCTAGATTCCATTCTTTATGTCCATGGCTGACCTTCTAATCTTGCATTTGGTAGTCGTTTGACTCGTGCCCTCCATTGTGGTATATATTTTATGATGATTCTTTTATTATGCAGGACCGCAGTACGGGACTAACAATTGACACAGAGCGTGAATCACAAAGCCTTTACTACCTTGACTCACTCTATCTATCCACAACATGTCTAGTTATAGATCCTCCCGACCTAATTCACAGACGTTTAGGACATCCTAATTTATCTAAGCTTCAGGAGATGGTGTCTAGTTTGTCTACATTAGATTGTGAGTCGTGTCAGTTTGGGAAACATACTCGAGCCACCTTTCCGCGTAGTGTTGAAAGTCATGCAGAGTCTATTTATTCTTTAGTTCATTCTGATATATGAGGTCCTAGTAGAGTCTGTTCAACCTTGATATTTTGTTATTTTATTAGTTTCATTAATGATTATTCTAGATGTACTTGGCTTTTCTTAATGAAAGATCGTTCTGCGTTGTTTTCTATATTCCAGAGTTTTTGTGTTGAAATTAAAAATCAATTTGGTGTTTCTATTCACTATTTCGCAGTGATAATGCCTTAGAATATTTGTCCTATCAGTTTCAGCAGTTTTTGACTTCTCAAAGAATTACTCATCAGATATCTTGTCCTTATACTCGTCAGCAGAATGGGGTTGCCGAGAGAAAGAATAGACATCTCATTGAGACTACTCGCACACTTCTCATTGAGTCTCATGTTCTGTTGCGTTTTTGGGGGCAAGGTAGTTCTCACAACTTGTTATTTGATTAATCGGATGCCTTCAACTCCCATCTAGAATCAGATTCCACATTCAGTATTGTTTCCCCAGTGACTCTTATACTCTCTTCCCCTCGTGTTTTTGGGAGCACATGTTTCGTTCATTACTTAGCCCTTGGGAAAGATAAGTTAGCTCCTCGTGCTCTCAAGTGTGTCTTCCTTGGTTATTCTCGTGTTCAGAAGGGATATCGTTGTTACTCACCAGATCTCTATAGGTACCTGTTACTCAGCCCCGGGAAAGATAGCTGACATCACATTTTTTGAGTCTAAACCTTACTTTACCTCTTCCGACCACCTTGATATATTTGAGGTCTTACCTATACCGACTCTTGAGGGGTTTATTAGGCTCATCCTACATCCTCAGTCACAAAAGCCTTACCCATACGACCATTGAGGAATCTACTGTTGCTCTTCCTAAATGCCCAGCCACAGGAACACTACTCTTGACTTATCATCGTCGTCCGCGCCCAACATCAAGCCCAACTGATTCACGCCCTGCACTTGCTCCTACTACAGACTTGTCACTTCTTCGTCCATCGATTGTTCGAAAATGTATACGGTCCACACTTAATCCTAATCCACATTATGTTGGTTTAAGTTATCATCGTCTGTCATTACCGCATTATGCTTTTGTATCTTCTTTGTCCTCTGTTTTCATCCTTAAGTCTATAGGTGATGGTGACAAGCTATGATTGACGAGAAGTCTGCTTTACATGCGAGTGGTACTTGAGAACTTGTTCCTCTTCCTTCAGGCAAATCTACTATTAGCTGTCGTTGGATTTATGCAGTCAAAGTTGGTTCGGATGGCCAGGTTGATCGACTTAAGTCCTGTCTTGTTGCCAAAAGATATACTCAGATATTTAGGTTCGATTATAGCGATACTTTCTCTCCCGTGGATAAAATTGCACCAGTCCGTCTCTTTCTATCCATGGCTGATGTTCGCTATTGACCTCTCTCTATCTCTTGGACATTAAGAATGCTTTCTTCATGGTGATCTTGAGGATGAAGTTTATGTGGAGCAACTACCCGGTTTTGTTGCTTAAGGGGAGTCTAGTGACCTTGTATGTCGCTTGCGACAGTCACTTTATGGTCTAAAGCAGTCTCCTCGAGTCTAGTTTGCTAAGTTCAGTAATGTTATCCAGGGTTTTGGCAGGACTCGCAGTGAAGCTGATCACTTTGTGTTTTATCGGTATTCTGCTTCAAATCTTTGTATTTATCTGGTGGTTTATGTTGACGATAATGTTATTATCGATAATTATCAGAATGATACTACTAAGTTGAAGCAACATTTTTTTCCATGCTTTCAGACTAAGGATATGGGCAGATTAAAATAATTTCTGGGTATTGAGGTCGCTCAGTCGTGCCCAGGTATTGTGATCTCACAGCGGAAGCATGCCTTAGACATTCTCAAGGAGACAGGAATGATAGACTGTAGACCTGTTGACGCTCCAATGGATTCGAATTCTGAAGTTCTGCCAGGACAGGGAGAGCTGCTTAGCGATCCTGTAAGATATAGACAACTCATTGGTAAATTAAATTACCTCACAATGACTAGACCTGACATCTGTGAGTGTTGTAAGTTAGTTTATTGATTCTCCGGTGATAGTCATTGGGATGCAATTGTCAGCATTCTTGAGTATGTAAAGTTAGCTCTTGGTTGAGGATCGAGGCCTTGAGCAGATCATTGGATACTCTGATGCTGATTGGGCAGGATCGCCTTCTGATAGGATATTGTGTTTTTATAGGAGGTAATTTGGTATCCTGGAAGAACAAGAAACAGAATGTGATTGCTCGGTCTAGTGCAAAAGCAAAATATCGAGCATTGACTATGGCAACATGTGAGTTAGTTTGGATCAAACGGCTGCTCAAGGTGTTGAAATTTAATGAAATCAGCTAGATGGAACTTGTGCGTGATAATCAAGCTGCCCTTCATATTGCATTAAATTCGGTATTCCATGAAAGAACCAAACACATTGAGATTGACTGTCACTTCGTCAGTGAAAAGATACTCTCACGAGATATTGCTACAAAGTTTGTGAAGTTGAATGATCAAATTGCAGATATTTTTGCCAAGTCCGTCACTGATTGTCGTATTAGTTACATATGTAACAAGCTCGGTACATATGATTTGTATGCACCAGCTTGAGGGGGAGTGTTAGTATATGTATATGTGTAATTAGTCCTAATCCATATGTAGTAGGAATAGATGTATTATATATAGCACTCATTGTATCATTGTTAATATATTAATAATATTTCCCGTGGTTTCTCACAATTTCATTTACTCATTTCAATGTTTTATCTGTGTAGATATATTTAAGAAAGGATGACCATCTTGGATCACTAATGGAAGGAACATTGCTTGCGGTAGGTGGTCGATACGACTACCTGCTCCACCAAAGTGGGGATTCGGAATGTGTAAGTACGCTTTTGGAAAGTTTTATCTCATCATTTTTTCTCTCTACATTTTCCTTGCTCTTATACAACACATTAACTAATATGTGTATTCTTTTTTTTGGATAATGGTGAACTCATTTGTTTATATCTCTGGGCTGGACTTGTGTTCTGTCATAATTGGGCGCAGAGAAATTTTTTTCCTTTTCTATTGGACAAATGCTGCATGTCTGCATATATTAGGTACATCCTGTAACCGGCCATCCTTGTTCATAGTGGTTGGGAGTTCTCTCCAAACTACTAGATCAAGGGTTCAAGGTTGGTAGACAATCTCAAAAAAGTTAGGCACATCATGTAGTTTTGGCATAACAACGTAATTGGATTTTGCTCTTTTCCCTAGTACTTTTGTAATCACGAACTGGTACTTGGTTTTCTTGTTGGTGGATTTATTGCTAAATATAAGACATGAATAGAATAACAATCTCTAAATATTGATTACAACGTGAAAGCAAACTTTACAAACCAAGACTAGGTAGTACAAGTTGTGAGCTTTTAAAATTACCTTATACAAACGCAGTCTGAATATCAGATATAACTAGAGATAAAGAAAGACACTCCAAGTCACCATTGAACTAAATAGCTGACTCACTGTTGGAACAGGAATTGCGATCCAATGCTCACTCATGAACACGGCTGAAGCTCGAATCCATATCTGAACACACGTTGCAGATGTGTAGGGTGAGTATTGGGAGTAATGAAGGTAGTGGCGAGAGTCAATATAGAAGATACTCAAAACTTGTGCAATAAATAATAATAATAATAATAATAAGGATAATCAATGCACAGATAAAGCACAACAACAACAACAACCACGATAATAATAATAATAATAATAATAATAATAATAATAATAATAATAATAATAATAATAATAATAATAATAATAATAATAATAATAATAATTTGCACCTAACTACCGGTCTTACATGTACCACATATAATCAATGCACAGATAAAGCATACATAGTATGCACAATTTAACATGTAACAGAGTACATGCTATCTTATCTAATCAAGTCCAATGCATGTGTCGGATGCACCTAAGTAGTTATTCTAGAGACCGGAGTTAGAGAGCCATTGGTTATTCTGGCATAATTTCTTTTTGAGACATTGGGAGTTGTTTTTGTGAGAATTCACGAGAGAAAAATCTATTATTCATATTCTATGTTACAATGAGCCCCATTTATATGTATACATAACACATAACCTACTCCTATTATATAAGGGAGTAGGACTAATTGCATATATTCATCACATAACTATTCTAACAGTTTTGAAAGCCCTTAAAAGAGCCTGTCATGTATCTATTCGTGCCATAATCAATAATCCAAGAATTAGTTGAACATTAAAGGGAATACCTTATTGCACATAATTGGATGTTGCATAGAAGGATAGTCGAGTTTAGTCAGGAGTTGGTGAAGATGCTAAATTTTATCTGAAGACAGTTTCTCCATAAGTAGATTCCCTGGATGTCTCCACAAATCTGCAGTATTAGGCAGACCTCTTGATGAAGCTACTTATTCCACCCCCCCCCCCCCCCCCCCCCCCAAAATCTCTGTTGGCCTACCGTGTAGCTCCCAACATGTCTCCTTTGTATACTTTGGCTTTCCACAACAATCGCATTGCAAGTGATCTTTATTAGAAGTGATTGCCCTTACTTGTTCATGAGATACAATTAACCTGGATTTCTCGATTAGTGTCGAATAAACCATGACATCAGGTCGGCTCTCTTTCTGTTGAATATAGGAGCATGTATTCTCAAGAGAAGGTAGAATTTACCAAGAACATCAACCCTAATCTGATCATACTCTTGGTTCAAACTAGCTAGAAAATTATAGACCCTTTCCTTTCCAATAATTTTTTAAAAAAAGAACTGCATCATTAGTACACTTGGAGGTCTTGATAGTAGTCTATCTCCTACCATAACCCACTTAATTCGCACTAATAATCAATGGTAGTCAACTGACCTTGAATTCTAGATATTAATCTGCTGGAATATGTGATAGTCAACTCACTTTGAATCTAGAGAACTGCATTATTAGTACATTTTGCTTGGGCATCATTTGCTTTACGAGATTACTTGCACTTAGTTGAATTTCAAATCTTTTTATCAGTGACAAGCAATAAATACTGTTTAGAAATTAGAGGGTGCATTGTATTTAAAAGTCATTTCATAACAAGTGCTCCAGTAATATAACCAAACAACTTCTCATTTTAATAAAAAACAAACAAGATATTGATCAAGCAAAATACGTACCGGCCCATCTAGTTTTACAAAACTGATGTGTGAAAGAGAAGTATCATCTAGTGCCTTTGTGTCCCCATAGTTTGAACAAATAATAGTCTATTTTTTTTCAAGAATCTGAAGAAACACCTTTCACACCCGAATTTCATAGAAGTAAAAGAAACAACAAATCTCTCGCTGAAAAGGAATTTGACATGCTGGAATCCTACTTCTGGTGCTCGGAAATTGTTCGAATATAAATGGGTAGGCTCGGAATAGGCCAGCAAAACCACAGAGTGAAAATCTCACTTAAAAGGTCGCCGGAAAGTGGTCTACTCGCTGACACGTGAGACTTACCCCTCGCCCGAGTTGGGGCTATCAGCGGCGCGTGACGGTGCGTGAGACGTCCTTTGACGAAGCTACTTATTTGGGTTTGGTTGTTGTTGCCAGAGGAAGCCTCTGCTAGTGTTAGTTTTTTCACACCACCAAGGAAATCGTGTTTTAATGCGTACAACTACCGTGTAGGAGAAAAAACTCGGTCTTTTAAGACAAAAAGGATCCCTAGTGTTATAGCGAGAGAAACCTTTCTTCAAAGGGTAGCAATGATTCTGATATTGTGATACCATGTTGAAGTGTGTGACCATATCATCTAAAAGCTTGAGCTATTAGAGAGCACAGTTTTATTTACTTAATTTTGCATTAACACTATTTTTTCTCTTAGTTATGGCTATTGTGTTGAGAGGGGTAAGGATATAATTTCCAATGAACAATCTCATCAGAGTTTGAACAGTTAAAATAGAGAAGATAAATATTTTGGTGTATTATCGCACTACAAAAAGTGTAGATAGAAACCCCAAATTGATTCTTTCAACACGGAAGGTAAGAAAATTGGAAAACAGCTCCGGTCGATTTTCATCAAAGATATCCAAGTGCACCTCGAACGACCAATGAAAATTAACAAAGCAGCAGAAGTCCAAAATAGATCTGACTTTGACTGGGATCCAAATGTCTGAATGAACAAAGGAGAAATGAGATATTGCCCGATTATCATGACATCAGTAGATGGGGGAGCGATTATACTTACCGAGCTAACACGGTTTACATTCTAAACTAGACAAGTGAGACAAAGCAGATATGACTTTTTGAAGATTTGATTATCTAGGATGTCCCAATCATCTATGTAATGGATCGGGTAAATCAATAATAGGACAAGCTATGGACGAAGAACAGGTTATGGACGACTTAGGAAGGCTAAGGTAATAAAGTCCATATGATTCAAAGCAAATTGCCAAGTATTCGCCTGTGCTACATTTCTATATGACAAGAGTTATTGAAGGTCACTAAGCAGTTAAGTGTTTGGGATAAACAATTTATGTCCATGATATTAAAAGGACAATCAGGAACATAAAAAACTGAATTCAACGTTAAGAAGAATGTAGGCTAGCTTGATTTATTCCGGGATGGTTTAAGATCCATTGACCAATGAGATTGTTGGAAGAGATTGAGAATAAGAAATAGTAGAATAAAGATATTCATTAATAGAAATATGATCATATGCACCAAAGACGGAGAGACAAGCCATCTGATTACCTATCTGAGTAAGAAAAGCTATCTCAGAAGATGTGTGTTAAGCTTTTTGTGACGAAGGAACTCAATATAAACAGGTGAAGAAACCATTTGCTCGTTCAAAGTATTGGATCCTATTTTGTTTCAATCGAGTATCTGAAATCCTTGTGACATATTGTTGGATCACCAAAAGTTTTCACAAATAATCTCCAGAAATAGACAAGCTGCTGTCCCAAGAGAGTACCTCATGAAACTACACCAAATTAGCCAGAAAACTTGGCAGGAAAAGGACTGAACAGTATCGTACCTTAGATATGACCAGAAATCACCTGGAAGGACTTGAAAATGACCGAACTTGCCGGAAAATGTCGTTGGAAAGTTTTGACTTGTCGGAAAATGCTGAAATCTGGTCTGAAAATTCCAAATAATTGACAGGCAGACTTGTGGCCATTAGTCGACCCCTATTGTATGAGGAAAGGGAAGAGAACTCTCGGAAGTTGTTGCTTCTCTGGAATCTAAAGCTCGGTTCACCAGAAAATCTTAAAACCTATATAAGTGGTTCATTCAAAACCGTCAGTTGCACTAGGTAGACTTAAAGTTGTCGCCTGGAGCAAGCTGGGACGGCTCTCATGTGCCAGCGCATGGTGAAGATCTCAAAGGAATTTTCTAAGCTTTAGTTGGTGCGTGCGTGTGTGTGTTTTGGGGGGGGGGGGTGGTCCTTTAAAAATGGGCATTTTGTGGTTTGATCACCAGAGACATCCGAACCTAGTGGTAGTGTTGGTTAATGTGCGACACTTGCAGAACCAGACGATCAGCAGTACAGTCGCCGAAAAAATGCGCGGTGATGAAATTTGCTTCCCAGACATAGCTGATATATGCGCAGCGATTAAATCCTCATGCGTGCTCTGATACCATGCGAAAGAATAAAGAACAAAGGAGAGAATATTGAGAGAATGATTTTACTTGATTATTCCCTCAATCTTTTGGGTTTAATTAGTGAATGTAAAGGTTCAAAAATAGGAAATAAAATATTCGGACTTCCTAATTATAAGAAAGGAATCTATCTAACTGATTGATCCTAATTGATACACAATACTATATTCAAAATTCTTAACAGCCTCCAAGGTTTCTTAAGGCTGTTTTGATATTTGGAACTGAGGGAATTCATCATTCTTTCTCTTTCTTTCTATATAGTCTGCCTTTTTTTCACCCTTCAGCATAAACGGCCTAGACTGGTTTTGATTGTTTCTCAAAAGCAATTCATTAATTGTTCAACATTAGCAAATACATTAACAGTTTAAGTAAAGGCATTAAGTTGGCTCTGAGTTGTATATACTCTTTATTCAGATGCTTTTTGTAATGCTCTGGCCTTCTGAATAATTGTGTTGGTGCCACTGATATTTTATTAGGGCTCATGTGACTTTATTAGATCCAGGCGTTGATACTTTCTTCATTCTTCAGCGTCTTATTCCAATTTCATCGGTTGATCCAGGCGTTGATGCTTTCTTCATTCTTCAGCGTCTTATTCCAATTTCATCGGTTACGGATGACCGACCATGTAATGAAGAATGTTGTGTCTCCTGTTTTGTGAACCTTTGCTCCAATACTATTCCACTAAATCGAATGAGTTTACTTTGCCAAACATTGAAAGCTGAGTGTGTTATTTTCTTGTGAAAGGTAAGTTGATTAACATATTCTGCAGCCAAATTATGTTAAACAGAATAAGCTGGAGGAAGTGGTGTCATCGTAATTTTCCAAACCCTAAGATTTTATTGCTTATTTATTTCTGAGTCATTCTTTTTGTCTGTCTCATTTTGTACTGTCCTGCATGAAATGTTCCAGAAATCAAATCCTCCTGGAGCTGCAGGGAGCAGTCTTGCCTTAGAGACGATTTTGCAACATGCTTCTTCTCTAGAGGTCAGACCTTACAGGTGCTGTTTTCTCTATCTTTTCATTAATTAGAGATATGACATTGATAGAAGGGGAGACTTGGAGCACGGTAAAGTTTTTTCCCTGTGACCTATAGGTCACGGTTTCGAGCCGTGGAATGCCCACTAATTGCTCATTAGGTGGGCTGCCTACATCACACTCTTTGGGTGCGGCCCTTCCCCGGACCCTGCGTGAATGCAGTATGCTTCGTGCACGAGGCTGCCCCCTAGAGATATGACACTGATACTATTTTGTCTTTAACATAACTAGTGTTAGAGTGCGCGCGATGCGCGGATAATTTGATAGAATATTAATCTTATAAAATTATGATCTAATATATCATATTATTTTAGTAAATCTTATTTGTTATTTTATTATTTAATATAATGTGCAGAAATATAACAAAATCTATACAAAGTCAAAGAATAAATAACATATAGTAATCAAATAAATTATTTGTTCTTTATTTATCCTTTATTAAATTAGCAAGTACTTAGTACTATACATTTACTAACGTGACTTTTTATTAACTTGTCAATTGGCTTAATATTTTGATACCATTTCTCTTTTAATATGACATAGATATGTATTTTCTTACTCTAAAAATATTTGTATTTTTTTAAAACTTTTGTTATACCGTTAGAAATTCTTCAATGGTCTAAATTTATGAATAATTTTTTTGAGCGTTTTTTAATAGTCTTTTATTTTTTAATTAATTCAACATAAATATTATAAAATTATCTTTATCCCCCTCTTTTCGTACATTCTTTTCTTCGGTAATATATTAGTTTTCTCATTTGTTTACTGAGATAAGCATTTTATTATTTTTGTAAAAAACCTACCATTATTTTTAATAATTAATAATTTGTGTTATATATATATATATATATATATATGTAATATATCCTAATTGCATCTTCATATTTTTGTTCTCATTATGAATTTATGAGTTCTATTTATGAACTAAAATTTCCTATATGAGAAATTTAATTAGTATATACATTTTTACGCTATCGCTTGATTTTTTTTCTTTTTTAGTATTCTTCCTTTATAACTATTTTCTTATTATGATTTTAGTTATGAGTATAAGTACGGCTTTTTCTCATCATAAGTCTTATATTTTTATATTTTCCCACAAATTTATAGTATTTTATTTCTTTTTTTGTTTCTTGCTTATCTAATTGTATTATCCATTACATAATATTACTAAATTGTCATATGAATTTTTAATAAAGTATCCGTTTAATATAATATAATGAATATAATTTTGTATTACTCTTAAAATTTATTTGGCTTTATCCTGTATGACTTTCTCATAATAGTTTTGATATGTAAATTTATCAATAATATTTTTGAGTATTATTTATTGACTTAATTTTATCAAATAAATTTAAAATGTGGATAGAATCACATTATATCTATTCTCCTCGTTATTTATTAGTTTTTGTTCTACAATTTTTAAATTTTTTTTTTCATTTGGTGTTTATTTATAATACGAATATGATTATTATAATTTTCTAAATGGATGGTGTTGAATTAGTTCAAAGGTTAACTGGAGAAGTTCTTTTAATATATGTCATAAATCTACTGATAATTGTAATAATTATTATTTTTGTATTATTTTCAATAAGAAATTAAATTAAATTTTTTTTCCTGTTTGTACTTAATATATTGGGTATGTTGTTGTTGTCTATACTCAATATGAAAGTTTAATTTTTTTATTAAGATTACTATATAAGAAGTTAAATTATATCTTTATATATTTTATTTATTTGTTAAAATTGTTGTTTATGTTTTGTCTTTAGTTTTATCTTTTCCATATAGCATATAGCATGACCATATGCATTATTATTATTATTATTGAAAACTGTTGTCTTCTAAAAAAATAAATTAGTCTTATTATTTTATATATCTCTACATGAAGTTATATATTTGTATATCTTTCTTTTTTAAAATAATTTTTGAATCTCCAAATTTGTTGAAGTTTTGTCCTAAAATTTGACACTTGTTAAAGTTTTGTTGTTACACTTGGAATTATCACATTGATTTGCGTCTCTTATTCTATATAGATAAATAGGTATTTTTGTTTCTTTATTTTGAAATAATTTTTACTCCAACTTAAAACTACTCGCCAATTTGAATTGGCAATTTTTATATTTTTTAATTTCGTTTTTATTTTAAAATTATTTTAAAACTCCAACTTGAAACTACATCCCGATTTGAATAGGTACTATTTTTTATCTTTCTTTCGTTTTTATAGCTATTATATATATATATATATATATATATATATATATGTATGTATGTATGTATGTATGTTTTTATTTTTTTATTTTCATTTTTTATATATATTTAAATCAAAAAATAATAACCAATAACTTTTGTTCTATATTTTTCTTTATTATATTAGCCATTGTTTAGTATTCGCTTTCTTTTTGTAATATTTTAGAAGATATATAATTTATTACTGATGAAANCTCCCCCCCCCCCCAATTTTGAATTGGCATTTTTTTAAATTTCGAATTTTAAAACTCCAACTTGAAACTACTCCTTAATTTGGATTGGTAATTTTATTTATTTATACATTTTATTTTTTTATTATAAAAAATTAAAACTCTAACTTTTTTGGAGCTTTGTCCTAAAAATCTACATTTATCATCCTATAGTTATGCAACTTGGCATCATATAATTATTTTACTTATAACTATTCCCCAATTTAAATTGATCGTTTTTTATTTTTTCTTATTTTCATTTTCTTAGTGTAAAATAATTTTAAAACTCCAACTTGAAACTACTTCCCGATTTGAATTGGTAGTTTTTTATTTTTTTTATTATAAATAATTTTAAAACTCCAACTTTTTTGGAGCTTTGTCCTAAAAATTTACATTTGTTATCTTATGGTTATGCCACTTGGATTAATATGGTGGCTTTGCTTCTCCTTTTATTATATATAGATTCCTACTTGCTCACCGTCCAATCATTTACCTAAAGTTAAAGTACTAAACATGCAGATATGATGTTGTCACTAATGTTCTTGTTTGTTCAAGAGGAGGGGGTGGTCTATTAATAGAGCGGATGGAACTATTGGCAGAGCTTTGGGAGGAAAATATCAGGGTTAGCTGTTCAATTACCACACTCTTCTGCTTGAATGTGTTTAGTATCTGAACTAAGTTTTGAACATTCCACAGGCTGAATTTGTTCCTCTATGCGATCCAAGCCTCACGGAACAGTATGAATATGCTAATGAGCATGACATTAAATGCCTTGTCATCATCACTGACACTGGTGTATCCCAAAAGGACTCAGTGAAGGTAGGACAACATTTATTACATGTTCACACTACTTTCTCATTTGATGTTCTTTATTAAGTTTTGAGACACCCAAATGCAATCTTTTGGTGAATGCCTCCTTGTAACAATACAATGCAATTCCATTATTGATTATACTTCTCTCTTCTATGGTTGTCTCACACAATGACTGAGGATATTCAGATATGGAGCTGTTGTGAAAAAAATGATGCATCGGAGATAGAACTTATCCTAGGGCACATACTGTTATTTGACGGAAAATCACTGTTCAAGATCTCTCAGCAATTTATGATCTTTACACATTTAGGAGAATTAGTTGTTCTGTGATGCCATCATGTCTAATGAGATGAAATATTCTCCACATGTCATTTGATTATCTTTGACCCATTTGCTGATATTGCTACAGAATGTAAGGATGTTTCTTGTGAAATGACATTCTAAATAATGGAATATTGTGGAACTCCCTATTATCTTCTACTTAGTTGCTTAAGATTTAGCACTATAATGAAGTTTTTGAAAATCATTTCATGTTGGAATTGACTGTCTATTTGGAGAAGGCACTACTTTGCCTTGTGGAGGCAAATAAATTTTCAGAAACTCTATTCTGGGTAACCTTTATAGCTTATGTTTCCACCTCCAAAATGATTTGTTCTTCCTACTGATATGTGACCAGGTCCGACATCTTGAGCTCAAGAAGGAAAAAGAAGTGGAGAGAGGAAACCTCGTCAAGTTTCTACTAGAGGCAATGTCATCTCAGTTTAGAAACCCATCCATCTGGAACTAGGTAACTTGTTTGAAGTATCTCTAGGTTTTTTTTGTTGTTTTACTTTTTTTAAATCTACTAATGGCTATACTCTGGTTCATATTCCTTTGATCTACTGCCACTTGCAAGTTGCATTTTCACTTGCTGATTTTTCAATTTTGTTGCTCATATTCCTCTGTATCTGTTAGTCTTCTCTTAAAGCCACTAAGCTAGCCTCTTCTGTTGCTGTACATCTGACATTATTCGTGATGAGTAAATCTGTTGAAGCAACTGGTACATACAACTTTGATTAGATTGTAGTAATGTTATTTACATGGAGAAATGATTTAGAGAGACTGTAAGTAAATCTATGATCTTTAATCTGTTGAACTTCAGATCCCCATTCACATATTTCGGACAAAAGGAGGTCAGATATGAGCGTGGAAAGTTTTATGTAATATCATTTCCAAATATATCATTTGAGGGAAGACATATAGTACTAGTCTATTTGGTCATAGATATATCAATTCCTTGAACAATCTGATTCATAGTTGGCTATGTTTCCAATCTGTGTTTGCACCAACTATTCCTGTCATTTAAGCTTTTTCCTGTGTTTTCTCCTACATGTTAGTGACCACATGCAAGAAGCTACACTTAATTAGTTTTTCATGTTCTCAGGCTCTGTTCAAGCTCACATTTCCAGGTAACTGATGGGCTTGTCAGGCCTAGCAAGAGATAAAGGGAACTATCTGCCTAATGGTCTTCCACACTTTAAGATCAACAGAACTGTTGTGGGAGAGCTGGGGCATCCTTGCCAATGTGTCAACTCAGATGGTAGATATTACTGAATGACACATTGGAACATGAAGTCAGTTTAACCAAATGACAAGTAGGTGCGAAATGATATTAGTGATTTGTACGGTAATAAATGCAACAGGGATGGAAGAACTAAATGCAAGGCGATATCATTTGTCGTCATACCTGCTGGATGAAGTGAATGCCGTTGCACACTTGAATGGCAGTAGAACTTGAGATTGTTGTTCTCCGGAATCCTCCGCATCCTTGAGAGATGGGGCAACTGTTGCACTTGAACCTTGGTTGGCCAGCTACTGGTCTTGCAGTTGCACTGCCCCATGCGCTAGGACGGCAAACTTACGTTTAAAAGGTGTTTCATTATGCACAAGAAGTTCCAGTTGACCAAGGGCTTTTTGGAATCTAAAAGTTGCTGGTAGTTCCCTAGTATCTCTTCTCAATTTTTTTTGCCATTAAAAAAAATCAGCTTTTCATTTTCTGTGGCATAAAGTAGAGAGTGCTTACTGCAAAATTCTTCTTTAGATTTATGATTGAGATATTTTCGAATATGGAAATCAGATTTTTGTTGTCATGCACTTGATCTGATGATGCTCAGTGAAGGTGTAATTTTGTTGATTGAGTTGTCTAAGGTCATGTTTGGCATCCTTATGTCAACTCATTGCTTCAACATTCTTGAAAACTAACTCTTCATTCCTGGGGTAACCTTTTTTATATGACAAAGATCAACACCAGTAACTGCGTTCATCTACCTAATAACTGCTCAGTGCTTGAAATGTACCTGAGGAGGAATCATGTTGACTTCGTTCCCCCTATTCATGTCAGAATTTGTGTGCTATGCTGCAGCTAAACCACTTAAAGCATCTTCCAACTTGTTTCATGTTCCTTCTCATCAACATTATTGAACGAGCCTACAGTTCACAGTGGGGGCAACCAGGCTGGGAAAGAGCCTACAGTAACTTTAAGCTTTTGAGATTGTTACTTTGTTTGTATGGACAATTTTGGTATAACTGAATATATCAAATGATATTCGATTTTTGACGGAACTGTTAAGGATAGCACTAGTTCTGCATGAAGTATTTTTTATCCTCATTCATTGTAAAGGAAAACACTAACTCTTTCATTTTTATTTGAATCATGTCTTGAGGAATATGAATATCACGCATTGCATTAATTGTAAATTATTTTTGGAAGACCAGGATTTGAGGGGCAACGTTGTTTGTTTTCAAGTAAAATCATGAGATCTGCCTTAGTGGGGAAGAAAACAAAAGGCAGTTGTAGGTGCTAGGTAATATGGTTGTACTAGTATGAAGCTATTGCAAATTAACTTTAAATTTCTTAAAGAGCTGTATTTTCTTTCTTCCCCTTGCATGAAGATGGTATAAGATGGAGTATGTGAATGCATAGAATTTTGGCTGGCAGAGGGGCAGCGCTATCACCCAACCTTTGGGTTCTAACAGTTGTCCTCTTGGCATTTAACCTCATCCATTCAATTTTTTGACTCACCCCTTATGGTCACTAACTTGAGGCAAGTTTCACAGGAAATTCCCTTGCGGGATTAAGAAGCAACGGTTTGTGGGCTTACATGCACTCTCTTAGGGTTTCACCATTCTAGCTAGGGGTGGCAAAATGGTTAAAAGAAAACAGTTAATCACCCATATTATCCAATAAAAAATGAGTTGGATAGTGAATTCTTTAAAAACGGGTCAAATATGGATAAGAACCATGTTATCCATTTAGAAAATAGATAACCAAAGGGTAACCAGTAGATAACTAATGGGTCTAACTTTTACATTTGTAAAGCCTCAAGTTGGGGTTCCTTAAGTTAGGGAGACTAAGAATTCTCCCAAAAGTGATCGTATGCGTCTTGCATGGATAATATGGTCCGGTTAACCCGTTTTTTTTATCCGTATTAAATATGGGATGGGTCGAATAATTTATCCGTTTTTGATTACCCGTTTTCGATTCGGACCATATCCGACCCGATTCCTCGTTTGCCACTCCTAATTCTAGCTAAGGGTTACTGCACAACCATATTAGGAGAGGCACTAACTTTAATAACTTAGGCTAAGCTGTGAAGGTATTGATGCTTTGACTCAACCTTTGGGGTGTCACGATTTTGTCCTCTAGGAATATGACCCAAAAGGTGCCTAGCCACTTAGATATTTGATCTCGCCTTACACGGCTCTTGACTTTTTCTCCGTTATAATATGGGATTTGCCTAATACAAGTTCCATATTTTGTTGTTGTACTAATACCACTTGTTCGCCATAGGCCTAACATTAAGGTATTGTCTAGTTTAGCTCAACCTTGGCATCCTCGGAATACAGGAAATTTAGAAAATAGGCTCCTTTTAACTCCTGTCATAAGAACTTAGTTTTTAAAAAGTTATTAGCATTTAGCCACTCCTGTCGCACAAGAATTTTTTCAGACAAAAATACCCTCCAATTCAAACACGAAACAACTTAAATAATCGGTGTTGGATTTCGAAGTTTAGACAAATGAAACTCCAACGCATTATACTTGAGTTCAAAAATACCCTACTTGTTAAACTTCAATACACAGTGTTGTTTGGAATTTGTAAATTTAAAACTCCAACATTGCTTGCTGGAGTTCGAAATTCACCCCAAACTCTGAACTAAGCTCTTCTAATAAGCGAGTATTGATATTCGGCTTAAAGTATGTATATTTATATGCATATTGCCTAGCATTTTACTCATATTTCGTAGATTTCGAATGTGTAATATAATAATTTATGCTAATTCGTGGTATTTTTATGTGTAGGAGTCATCCGGAGGTAATGTGAGACTAAAGTGCACGATTTGAAGCAAAAAAGGAGCAAAACGAAAAAATGGGCCAGTGTAGCGCCCCGCGCTACTTGTGGCACAATTTATAGATGCAAAATTTTTCCACCGCGAGGGCTAGCGCCCCGTGCTACCCTGGGTGCTGGGTAACGTGAAGTCTCCTATTTCGCGCGGGAGAAAGTTATTTCAGCCCAACACACCCCCAACTCATATAAAAAGAAGTCTAAACCCATTTTGGAGGGAGAGACGCAATTTTGAGAGCAAAACACAAGCATGGAACACTCGGGAGCAAGGATTCTTAGTTTTTCTTCATCGTTCTTAGTATTTTCAACTATTCAACACTTATGAAATTGTTTAACTTTATCATGGGTGGCTAAGAACCTAATTATTCTGGGGTTATGGGCCGTGTATAACTATTGTAATTTGACGGTTGATTGTGTTGCTTGATTCTATCATATTAATTTGTTTATTCAATCTTACACTTAATTATTCTATTGCGTAGCTAACAATAGAGTACTATTTACGAATTTATAGTTGAAATCGAAAGTGAGAACTATAGATTGCATATAAGATTGAGTAGAGTAACTTCTTGAATCCGGTCATCGGAGAATAGATTCGCAATTAGGATAGACATATTCTAGTTTCCTTACTTGGTTATTCTTGCAAGAAATATACATGCGTTCTTATCAATTTTAAGGCATGCGAAGCATTGAAAGAACTTTGCGAGCATAATAAACCCTGCTAATCAACAGATTAGATAAGTCAAGTGATTACATCAACCGGAAGAACGCAATAGGAGAGACGTTAATCCCATAACCCTGGAATATCTCCATTTCATTGAATTCTTTCTAAGTGTTTGTTTGCTCTATTTGCGATCGTATTTTCTTGTTTACTTATTAGTTTCGTAGTAATTTAGTCAATAAAAATTACAATCATTATCTTTACTACTTGAGCAATAAATTTATAAATAGTTTAGATTGAATATTAGTTGATCATAAATCCTCGTGGGAACGATACTTTCTCATCACTTTATTACTTGTCGACCGCGTATACTTGCGTGTGCGTTTGGACCCAACAAATATAAACAAACATAACTTCACATTGGTTTTTCCCATTGATTTCAGTAGCTATAATAGTTGAGTACCAACAACTAAGATTCCGTAACCTAATGCATTACCAAATTCGCCACTTGAAGACCAGCATTTAAAATTTTGAATTTCTTCTTTTGTTTTTCTTTAAATATCAAAAATCATCAAAGTTAAAATAATCAGCAATTTGAATCCCTTGATGGATAAGTCCAATGACTCAATAGCAGTGCGAAATTGGGTTTCTTGTATGGTGGATCTGCTCTGTAGTTAGGGGAAGTACACACCAAAAAGTGACCCCCTTTGTAGTTCAGAAATACTCGATCCATAGATAAAAAAAAAAAATCATTTTCTGCTAGATCTCGCATGCTCCTGTAATTGTAGTTCAATTTGTCATATCATCTCCTTGTCAAGGCAGAAGCTACGGGTTCGAGCCTTTTCAGTCCCGATGGAAATACTTAGTCGATGCCCATATGATTTTAGCTTCAACTGAGTAGCAACTTAGATTTTTCTAGCACTAGGTTCGACCTTAGAAAGACCCTGCAATAGAATCCCAAAATTTTCCTCCACAAGTTTAAATCCGAAGAAAAAATCGATCCTAGCTCCTCAATTTAAAAACCAATTGAATTTCAAATAGCAACGCCAAATAAATCCGGGCATCTACCATGAAAACTTAGAATGTTATCGAGTGCATATATGGACTTGCAAACTCTGGGAATCGTTCCTGGAGTTTCTAACTGTAGATTTCAAAGTACATGAATTATTCCTGGAGTTTGAACTCATAAATATTCAAACTTGTTCTTAGCATTCTTCCGTGTTTTAAGTAGGGGTATTTTCATCCAAAAAACATTTCTCACTAAAGAGTGTTATTTTCTCATTACATTTTAAATACTAGCTAAATCTCCCAAAAATGTGGTTGTGTCAGCCAATTTTTGCCGCAATACTATACATTTATGCTTTAATTAAATTGGCATCTCAACCGTTGAATCTATTGTCTTATTGTTAACAACATAATTAAGTAAATAAAAGTGTGCTCTCTCTAACAACTTAAGTTTTATACACACTTCAACATTGTATCATAGTCATTGCTGCCTTTTTGAGGTGAGCTATCTCCCTGGCAGCACTAGGATTCCATTTTTATGAAAGAGGTTGAGTTTCCTCTCACTTTGTGACTGTCCACGACACAAACTCCTTTCGACCAGTTTTTTTTGGAATTTTTTTCTTTGTTGGGGTCCTGGAACATTCAGAGCTTTCCCTACTAGAATTGATTTTTTTGATCGCCGAAATACGTGGCATCTACTTTTGTAGTGAGGTCTATAGCTTTCCAGTAATTTTTTCCAAAACTTTTTTCAGATCTCAGGTCTCAGGCTTGTTCTGCGTACATCTTACTACTTTTGATTTTTTGATTACCAGAATTAGGATTCCAGCGTGGCAGCTAGCTTTCTTTCCAGATCTACAACTTTCCAACTACTTTTTCCAGATCTCGGGTGGAAGGCCTATTCCAACCCTTCCCATTCATGTTTCGGTGGATTTCAACCTGGCAGTATTTTATTTGGCGAGTTTTTAGATGAATTTTTCCGGCAAGATCAGGCAAATTCTATCTCTGGAAGGTTATTATGTATTTTGGAATATTCTTATGCGATTTTTTGATACTAAGGATTATTGCTTACTCAAATTATAGGTGATACAAAGGCATATAATAATTCTATGTCTCAAACTAGTGTTGTTAAATTGGATGGGGTTGGTACATATCTTGCTTTGTCAAGATCTTATTTACTTTTTATTTATTATAGAAAGTTGCTTGGTTATATTACTTGTCACATCCAACCCAGGTGAGGTGTGGCTGGCACCCAATGCCGTACTGGCCCAAGCGAACCACTATGCAACTCTTGAATGTTGGACGTAACCCGGAACATACATAGGCCAACATGGCCAAACTCTATCATACTATAGGCTATCACGACCAACGTGGCCGAAAATTGTAATATATCGTAGGCGGCCATGCGTCATATCAGCTAGCCATCATACTCAAAACATCAATACATATTCGGGCCGAGGAGGCCACTATTAGTATCAATACCGGACAACCCAAAAAAATAAAAATAAATGAGGGCCGACAAGGCCACTAACATGCGGTCCATACTGAACCTGTGTTTACAAAATATCATCGGGACAGGACCCTGACCTGCCCATAAGTCTATAACAAAATCTGATATCATGACCTCTAGACTCGGCTATACTCTAGAAGAGATGGACCCTTACCGATTTACCGGTGAATATCAATC